AGTACTAACAGATCCTGCGATCTGCCTAGCCCAGCCAGTTAAATCCAAAACACCAATAACAGCCTCAGTGGCATGAATCATTTTATTTCAAACATACTGAGTTTATATACCAAACATACTGACCAAGTCGTATCATAAAATGGAAAATAACATTTGTACAATATTTAGCCGAATATGGCTGTGAATAGTAATCAATAAACTGATGATAACTCAAGAATTGCATAATAATGGTTCAAAGGTCAAATGAAGCTAATGATAAGAGGAAACGAATATGTTTAGGTTAATTACAATAAGAAATATACATATTACATTGGCCAATAAATAGTCCTCAAAAGTTACCATTCACAATTTTCTTCGGGATGCAACACAGCCACAATGTCATAATTCAAAACCACAAATCATCGTTGTCTGGAGATATGTAGTGATATGCACTTTCTATTACTTTTGTAACGATAAAGATCACATTTTTTCTACTTGTTACAATTTATGTATAACTGCATTTATATTCCATATCCATTGTTTCTTTGTAACAATTGTTAAAAACGGATAAATTGTTTGGTTGCACACACCATCGCGACTTCTGAAAATAAACACTATATTCGCCGTTTGCCCTGCTTTATTGGCTTCGGTCATTGATCGAAGATCATAATAGTGTTATAGCATCTTTTTTGGCCATTCTACACTACTTTGTGGTTTTGGCCCGGATTGTTATTAAATAATACTGAATCCCGTACCACTTACGAACGACACTTGGCATACGATAGCCGCACCTGTTCGAAGCGACTGTTTTCGTACGTTAAAGGGCGGACAAAACGTAGTGATGGTATCCAAACGTTACTTTTAAACGAAAATTGAGATTTACTAGCTGAATCTGATCTAGCAAAAGCTGAGGCTTTGCAAACTATTTTAGTGAAATATACTCTACGTGTAGTGTTACAACTACTTGTACCATTAACAACGAGACACCAGCCGTAGGATCTATACACATGGCCGAGAAAATTGTTCTTCCATTGATAGCTAACCTCAAACCTTGTAAGTTACCGGGCCCCGATGGGTTACATCCAAGCTTCCTGTCATCGCTTGCGGACATTATTTCAAGACCGCTCGCGACGCTCATCAACATATCCCTTTCACTCGCTCAACTACCTAGAGATTGGAAAGACACTATAGTTAGTCCTATATTTAAGGATGGTCAGAGAAGGATCGTATCTAACTACCGGCCTGTCGGCCTGACCATTATAGTCGTTAAGTTACTTGAAAAGATAATTCAGACTAAGCTACTACAATCTGTTAACTGCCGAGCAACATGGGTTTCGTAATAAGCGTTCATGCTTAACTAACTTACCGCGAGAGAGGATTGGACAACAACACTAGATAACGACCTGTCTGTTGACGTGATATTCATAGATTTTAGCAAAGCGTTTGACTAGGTTTCACACTTAGGTCTTATGCAGAAGCTATCGAACTTTGAAATGGAAAGGAAGCTTCTTATGTGACCGCTATCAGAATGGAAGCTGGTCAAATGTGGTGTGCCCCATAACACCATTTTAAGCCCTTTATATTTCCTTCTGTATGTTAATGAATTACCTCTATTACTTAAGTCATCGACATTATTTCTTGCAGATGATGTTAAAATTCGGAGAACAATAAGAAGTGAGTCTGATCGTTGTCATTTCCAAGCTGATTTAGACGAATTAGTTAGATGGGCTCATAATTAGGGCTTGGAAGTTAATTCCAGGAAGAGCGTGCTCATGCACATCGGACACGGTAATAGTTACCATTATACGACTGATGGTACGTCTCTTCCACGCGTTCAAGAACATACAGACTTGGGAGTAACTATAAGTCACGACTTGAAAACTACTACGCACTACAACGCGGCTGCTTCCAAAGGTCATCGTGCGCTGTGGCCACTTCGCCAAGCCTTTAAATGCTTCGACAAGGATATGTTTCGAATTTTATATCTCACCTATGTAAGGCCACACTTAGAATACTGTGTCCAAGAAGCCAGACCGTGTCTGACAAAGGATACTAAATCACTTGAGTGTGTCCAGCGTGTGTGGACAAAATTAGTGAAGGGTCTTTCTAAACTCCCTAACGATGAGCGTTTAAAACGTCTCAATCTTTTCCCCTTACCTTATCGTAGGACACGAAGTGACCTTATACTGGCATTTCGTATCTAATTATGATTTGGTGTTAATATGTCTTATCTTTTTGCTCCCTCCAGAACTAATAATCTCCGCGGTCATAGAAAGAAGGTTTACAAACCGCGACCTAATAAGCTGACGGTGGGGTCCCGTTTTTCTTATCGAGTGGTCAATGACTGGAACGCATTACCCAAACAAGTGGTACCAGCTCCATCAGTGAACATTTTCAAGGAGAATCTGGACCTTCACTGGAAGGCAATCAATCAGGAATAACACAGGTTCATCAACCTACTATCCTTATTACTGAAGACTAGATTCAATCCCCCATTATGCGTTGAAGCCAATACGTTCAGAAGAACCTTTTTTAATCAAGTGAACTCATTTGTGGTTGTTATCTCAGAGAGCAACTCTCAAGTAACATTCATTTCATAACATCTGTGATCATTTTGTCACCTAATATGCCATTTATTTTGTAACTGTAACTTGCTACTGTCTTGCTTTTTTTATTATTTTATTTAATCACATATATATTGGTACAAAGGGCACCGGATACATATGCGCCACACAAAATAATGAGAATGGGAGAAGGAAGAAAATGCGTATATATACAATTGAATTATCGTCTCGGCGCCCGAACACACGATGCCGAACCTCTGCATTGCTAACATGGTGTTGCCACTGTATGCCAGCAATCCTTCGGAGACAACGATGATCGAACATAGAGAGTCGTCTAACATCCTCAACTCGGAGAGGCCAGGTTTCACAAGCATAGTGCAAAACTGCTCTCACCGACGCGTTGTAAATCCGACCTTTTACAGCCAGACTTACTTCACGAAGGCGCCAAAGATGGCCCAGATTGGCATAAGCCGCTCTGGCTTTCATTATACGTGCATCAATCTCATCACTCACGCCACCACCAGCACTTATATAGCTACCGAGATACACGAACTTCTCAACTACTTCAATCTGCTCACCATCCAGGGTGAGTACAGGATGAGAATCCTGCCAGTCTTGTAGAAGTACTTTGCACTTGGAGGGTGCAAAGCACATGCCGTACCTGTGGACACTGATTGCCAACTGATTAAGTGCGGATTGCATGCCTTGGGCATCATCGCACAGTAAGACAATATCATCCGCATACTCGAGGTCGAGAAGTCGTTCTCCAGGCAGCAGATCCACACCACCATTACTTACATCCATCAGAGCTGTTTTCAGGATGTCATCGATGGCAAAGTTGAAGAGGAATGGTGAGATCGGGCAACCCTGCCTAACCCCACTGCTCGAATGGAACAAGGGAGAAAGGTGGTTGTATGCCCTCACTCTGCCTGAGGTGTTCGTATACAGGGCCTTTAAGATGTTAATAAACTTCTCAGGCACACCCTTCCTCAATAGACAATCCCAGAGAACAATCCTGTCCAACGAATCGAAGGCAGCCCTGATATCATGAAACACTACGATTGTTGTCCTGCGATAAGTATGACGGTGTTCTAACATTTGGCGGAGGGTGAAGATGTGATCAATGCATCCTCGACCAGAACGAAAACCAGCCTACTCCTCGCGAGTCAATCGTTCTCGGGTTTTAAACAACCTACGAAGAATGATAGAAGCCAATAGTTTGGACGCAATCGAAAGTAGACTTATCCCCCGATAGTTATTGCAGGAACAACGTGAACCCTTTTTAAAGATAGGGACGACTATCGACTCATTCCATGATGTCGGAACACTTTCTTGCTCACAAACCTTTGCAAACAACACAGTCAATTCCTTAGTCAGGTCACCACCATCTTTAAAAAGAGCCGGAGGTAAGTTATCTGGGCCCGGTGATTTGTAACGTTTCAAGAGTTGGAGTTCCTTGCGGACTTCAATATTTATTATATATATATAAGCTTATGTGAAGTCACATGAAGATCGAGTCCGGAAACTGATAAGATGGAGTGTGACAATTGTAGATTTGAAGAAATTATGTAAGTTTAATACCATTTAGAAATAGATATAAAGAACACAGAGCTATGAAATGGATTCGAAATTGATTAGATGAATTGAGTAATAGTCTATATTCAACACTTCCCTCTAAACTGAGCAAACTAAAGAATGAGTAAATTAACTACGTTCATTTTGCACAAGAGCCAGTGTTAGAAAATACCGCATCTACTTATCAAGACATATTTGATGAATAAATTAATCTAGATTTCTGAAGTGAATTGATTGTCAATCTAATTCATATGCGTATACGTATATAAAACCCAATTAGGAATGGTAAGGGCTAGATAATGACAATAATATACATTAGGTTTTGTTGCCTTACAAGAGAAACTTGTACATAGATTTTAATGTAAATAAAGTTATGCTAAATCATAAGGCTCCAATAAAATATACACCGTTGACTAACTGATACGGCCAATATTTGCTTAACGGAATCCTTTCCCGTAGCTCTGATTTCTAATTTAATAGATAGAACAACCCCATATCTGCCTCCTAACCTAGGTTAATCTAAATGACAAAGATTTATCAAACGACCCATCGTATACATTGCAAATTGATGTAGGTAAGCAGTAATTGTGCATAGATAGCTTATAATGTCGTTAAACAATGATGTTGAAATGCACTTTGCAAGTGATAGCCTGTAATACCACCTGGCTGTCCAAACTGGAGAAATGGAGCGAGTTCCAGACCTGTCACTTCCAGGTCAAAAGTCAGTTGTCCATAGCACTAAACCAGAGTTCCATGAAGCTCGTGGTATAGGGAAACTGAAAATATGCATATTGTTGGTAAACATCGATTGATGATACTGCCTACACATAATAATAAAAGGTCATATTACTGAAGTCATTGTCGACCTAACTGCTTGAATATATGACTTTATTTGCAAGTTTCATTACAGAATACTTTGCTATACTTACAACTGATCCAGCTAAAACTCTATCAATTACAATTAAAACCCATTTTATCATGAGAAAGCCTATCTTGAGAAAATCCAGAAAGCTTTCACTAATTGTTAAAGAGTTATTACCTATTGTGACCAATATGCCCAAGCTTTCAAATTATCAGCTTAAATTTGGTTCATTTAACCGAATTCAAGTATACAGCAAATGTTATCATTGTATTACTAAAGGTCAATTTAATCTTCTTCCATGCTTCTTCCATCTCATTAGCACGCTCCGACCACCAGGCTTCTCGGTCCTTACGCAAGCTTTGCCCAATCTCGTTACGTAACAGACTTCGTTTGTGGTCATACTCACGGTCACCCGGAGTAGACCGACGGGCTTCCATCAGTTGTAAGGAGCCAGAAGAAACCCAGTGCTCGTAAGCGGGACGTTTCGCGAAGCCGCAAGCGGATTTACTCGCCAATTTCATGGCGCCGTGAAGATGCAACCAATGCTCATCTATACTTTTCGGTGGGATGGTAGCTAGCCTAGAGGCTAGCTCCGCTCGATACTTACTTGCAACAGAAGTTGCAGCCAGTTTACTAACATCGATCCGTTGGTGGTGGTCAATCCTTCGGCCACTGAAAAGTAAGGTGAGATTGGCGCAGACAAGGGAATGATCAGACTCCAGATAGGTACTCCAAAAGGAGCGACAGTCTTGTACACAACCACGCCAGCGGTAGCTGATCGCGATGTGATCAATCTGAGTCCAGGCTTGGGATGCAGAGGGAGGACGCCAGGTGGCACACCGGCGATGACTGTGCCGGAAGTTAGTGCTGGCCAGAAACAGGTTGTCGTCTGTGCACAGTTGCAGCAAACGGTCCCCGTTATCTGTCCTGCGACCAACAAGTCCCCATCGGCCACCTAAACGACTCTCTTCTGTGCCTAGACGCCCGACCTGTGCATTCAAGTCTCCGGCTAGTACTACAATATCTGTCGAACGCGCTTTCTGGAGAAGAACTGTTAACTGATGGTAAAACTCATCCTTGATTGCATCCGGGCTGCAATCTGTCGGGGCATAGGCGGAGATGACAAAAGGACACCGATTCTCACGCCGATTTCTTCTCACTTTAATGGAACTTTCTAATCTAACAGCACATAACCGACTGTTAATGGGGATCCAATCGATTAGTGCTGCCTCAGCCCTAGCGCTTAGTGCGACACCAACGCCAGCAAGGCCAGACGAAGATGCCACAGGGTCCCCGGATAAGCACACGTGAAACAAGCTTTTCGAGGCGACAGATGGAGAGCGGATTTGTAGTACTTCACTAGAGTCTTGAATACGGGTCTCGGATAGACAACAAACATCAACATTAAGACCTTCCAAAGACATATCCAGCCCTATCTGTTGTCTGATTTGCATTAGTGTGCGAACATTGAAGGAAGCTTGCTTGAAACAGCTTACATGGTTCCAGAAAGACTGCTTCAGTATTCATAATCGGTGGAAGCATTCACTTTCAACCAGATAGTGACTGGAGATCGTTTAGATTGGACAGATTTTCCACCATGGGCGAGCTGCTGCATAAATTGAAAACTAAGGTTACACAAATTGGGGGTAAAAGGGGGTGAATTAGCGATATGGTAAATAAAAATAATAATAATAATAATAGTAATAATAATAATTAAGATAATAATAATAATAGTGATAAGGCAAATTGAATTGTTTCTAGTATGAACGAGAATATAATTGTCAGCTGAATGTTCCATTTCATTTATTTGCGAGAGGGCTGTGATACTGCCCGAGTGTTCAAACTAAAGCAGGTGGTTTTCTTAGGGGGCCACACCCAGAGCCTTTGACCGAAAGATCTGATCCACAAGGCAGTGGAGCATCGTGAGGAGATACAGTCCCATGGTAGCCGGTGAACAACAATTGATTCATACGCCATTTGTTCCATCAGGATACTGGAATCCATGTGCACCATTGGTTTGGAATCAGGGTTTTCCAGCTCCCCTAGGTGGACTTTCTGTGTCCACCAACCCGGTTAAAGCGCCTGACATTCGCTTTTCATTCTCTCAATTTCGTAAGCAACACCCCCGCCACGAGAAGGCAGTGAGTAGGACTTCCCTGGCAGAGGCTATATATTCGCGTGGCCATGTGAGAGCATTTCGATGGGGAGAGCAGACTCTACCCACTCTCGGCCGTACCAGGGCATTTGGGGGCCTTGCTTTACCTGTAGACAAGCATTTAGGTTTGCAGTGTCAATTGTTTTTGGTATATAATTGGTAACTTTGCTTATTGTTATAAGCAATAAGCTGTAAGCTCTTTTGCTGGAGTCTACCACATCTCTTCACCAAACTCAAGATGAGGAATTGGGATGACGGGATGTATATAAATTTCACGAATATCCCTCATTTAAGGGTACTCTGCACCTGAATTTTATCTGCAAGGAGCAAAGGGAACATAAAAAAGAGAGTTACACAACCCTTTTTTCACGAAGAAACTAAAAATATCCCAAATACGATAAAGTACCTTTGGAAAGGAACTTTCTGCCAATTATTTGAGTAACAACCCGACCGTTGACGCTACCTTGACGTGGTGGTCGGGCTTGCCTATCGTGATGGACCAATCGAGCTATACTGGCTGGAACAATCGTTCCTCAAGATCCTAACATGTCAGACAAGTCAGTTGAAGAGCGGTAAGACTAAAAGCAGCAAACCCAAGGTCCGAAGGCGAAGTCGTACTGTTGACTGTACAGAGGTGTGACGGCGGTAAAGTGTTTATTTCAGACAACCAGCACAACAGCGATGCTGGCTTCTCACAAGGAGGAGTGGGGTTAGAAAATGTCTACCGCAAAAATGCCAACTCGCCTTATCCCACGGATTTCCGTATCCGGCGGTATAGTTCTATTTGGTGAAGACATTGACAAAATGCAGTCTTCTAACCACTATAAGCAATTATGCAGACATGTTCAGGATGCGATTCTCCCTCTCGAGGTGCAAAATATTACTTCAGGATTGGGTTGTATCGGCACCTGAACTGATAATAAGGAATCAAGTAGTTGAGCGTGTTGACCGCTTCACTTATCTTGAGAGTCTCATCAGCCCTTGTGGTCTGGTGTGTGACGAAATCTCAGCACGGATACAGAAGGCTCGTCTAGCTTTCGCCAGCTTGTGTCATTTATGGAGTAGGCGAGATATCCGTCTAGCATCAAAAGGACGGGTTTACTGTGCAGCAGTTCGCTCCGTCCTACTTTATGGCAGTGAAACATGGCCAATAAGAGTAGAGGATATTCGTAGGTCACTAGTATTCGATCATAGGTGTCTTCGAAGCAATGCTCGTATATCCTGGGACAACCCAGTAAGTAATGCAGTTGTTAGGATATGGGTACTAGGTAAGGATGGCAAATCGATTGATGAAGTAGTGAAACTTCATCAGTTGAGATGGCTGGGACATGTGTTACGTATGACCAACCACCGACTGCTCCGACGTGCAATATTCCATGGTGTAGGAATAGGTTGGAAGAAAGCTAGGGGCGGCCAGACCAAAACGTGGCACAAATCCATGAAGTCGCTGACAATTGGACCTATCCATGTTGGTAGGTGTAGACTACCTGGTAGGGATTCGCGAGATGATAGCAATCGATGGTTAGAGACCTTGAATGACATGGCTCAAAATCGTTTGCAATGACAAAAGTGCATCTACTCTTTGTGTTCTACCGAATTCTAATCTTTTGAATTATTCATGTCTCTATCCTTTTTCTCTTTCCAGACTTATTTTACTGGATTATACTACTTGGATAACATCTTCAAACCCTAATCTTTCGGTTTACTGCTTATACTCTTACTACATCTACCACTATGGAATTTGAATCGACAACTGCATCTCTGTGTTAATATGGTATGGCAACTAGAAGTGATGTATATACGTACGAAGTTCGATGTTGTGACTGACTATTTAAGTAACAAACATTTGGCGAGACTTTAATTTATGGACTTGTAACGGAGTTGAAATTGCTATGTATGATATACTAATGCATTCTATTTTCTTTCTGTTGCAGGGCGACTAAACATAAACTCTTTGGAGGAAGAAGAACAAGCCCTATGTACACTAAGCTTACAGGATGACTCATAAGACTACTTTGTAAACTGACTCTTCCCGCTGTACTCTCGCGCACCGCGCCTTTTGATTTTGAAATAAAGAGGCTCGTGATTCCCACTGTGTTCTCTCTTGGTGTGAAGTCCTCGTTTAACATTGTGTGCTGTGCTGTTTTTCAGATCTGTACTGCTGTTCTCTAACTGCTGATTCCACGTGTTACGACTGGTGATGGAGGTGTTCACTAAAAAACGCGATGAAAACCTGAACGAATCGCCGGTGATTCCAGTCAAGCCAACTACTGGCTCAGCTCCCCGTCAACCGCCACTCCTGGAAAACTCGTCAGACTATACAGTATGGAAGTTCAAAGTCGCAGCATATCTTCGTAAAGTTCCAGCTTCGGAACAATTCGATTATCTGGTGTCTTACCTCAGTGACGAAGCTACCAAGAGAGCTATAGTCAACGGGTTTGCGGCGGACAATACTCTCGCTCAGAACTGGAAGATTCTCGACGATTGTTTTTCGACGCTGGTGGATCCCCAACAAGCAGCCATCCGATTTTTGTCACGACATCAAACACCCGTCGAGAATCCAATGGATTATTTTAATTCTTTGCAACAGATGGCTGTGCAAACGTTCCCTTGTCTTGATGCCACTGGAAGAGATGAATTGATTAAGTCTCGGTTCGACTCAATCCCTAACTTGGAATCCGGAAGGGAAGCGGAAAAGAGGAAGGCCAAAGAACACACTACGCCGAGAAATAGAAGCAGATATGAAAAGGATGAATAGCAACTGGAAAGAACTGGAAAGGAAGGCTCAGGACAGAGTTGGATGGAGAATGCTGGTGAGCGGCCTAGGCTCCTCGACGAGGGGTAACAGGCGTAAGTAAGTAAGTAAGTCGTGGAAGGGTTACTATCCAGTTCCTTAAAGGAACACTTCCTACTAAACCCTCCAACAGATATAAATTCATTAAAAAGAGCTACATTCCGGTTCATGGCAGCCGAGCAGCTAAAAGGCCCACCTGACATGCACCAGCCAACCGCGATGGCAGTAACGCAATCCACAAAAGCGAGTCGCCCACTGAACCCTCAACACATATCTGACGTTACCCGGTCTTCCCACTGGAACAGCAGTCGAAGACAATTCAGTCCCGCTGAGAGGAAGCGGGCATCAACGAATAGTTATCATGGTCGTCAACCTGAATGCCCATACTGTCGAAGGTTTGGCAAAAACGCAAAGAAATGTGGTCATAATCGTTTTGGTAACACAAGTAAGCCGTACATTTTCTATTTATCTTCTTATGCTAACCATGTGCGCCCCATCACGATTAAGGCTAGAGTACAGGGCATTGATATCGAAGTTTTATTAGACACCGGAGCGTCAGTATCCCTAATTAAGAGCGAGCTTTTAGGAAGGCTTAATCGTAAAGTCCAACAGACGCGATACCCATCCACATTACTCACAGCGAGTGGAGACCCATTGAAAGTGAACTCTAAGGTATGGTTGGACCTAATGATAAATAGACATCCGTTCCGTCATGGGTTTTTAGTTTGTCCGACATTGACTTGGGATATGATACTCGGAGTCGATTTCATGTTAGAACATAAAGCTGGTATATTCATGGACAGCTTGGAAGCGAAATTTGGAGAGACTAAAATACGCTTGCACCAGACTGACACGTCATTTAAAGCTGTGTCATATGTGGGAATCTCAGATCTGGTGCGGCAAGTAAACGACAACCGAATACTAAAAGAGAAAGATCGACATGCAACGATTGCCGTGCTTCAACAGTTTAGTTCGATATTCGAAGAGAGTATTTCCGGCAATCGCACGAGTACGGTGCAACACACCATTTGCACGGGGGACCACAGGCCACTTAGGCAACCGCCTCGTAGAGTGCCAGTACACTATCAACCACAACTGGATACGATGATAAAGGATATGCTTGACAAGAATATTATGGTACCGTCATCATCCCCCTGGGCATCACCTATCGTCCTGGTTAAAAAGAAAGATTCCTCTCTGCGTCTCTGCATAGACTATCGACGCCTTAACGCTATAACTAAGCGTGACTCTTTTCCTCTTCCGAGAATCGATGCTATATTAGACGCTTTGAGTGGCGCATGTTGGTTTTCAACGTTAGACCTAGCATCAGGGTACTGGCAAGTGGAAGTCAGACCACAAGATAGAAAGAAAACCGCGTTTGTAGTGCCAAATGGGTTATACGAATTCAAAGTAATGCCTTTCGGTCTAACGAATGCCCCAGCTACCTTCCAAAGATTAATGCAAACAGTTTTACAAGATATAGTACCTCATAAATGTTTGATTTATCTCGATGACATTATTGTGTATGGTAGCACACCCGAGCAACATAATGCTAATCCGAAAGCAGTTCTCTATCGCCTTCAACAACACAACCTAAAAGTAAAACCGTCCAAATGTCGCCTGCTGCAGAAAGAAGTAGTTTTCTTAGGACATCGTATCACTGCAGATGAAGTAGGCACCGATAAAGAAAAGACACGTGTCATTGTTAATTGGCCACATCCCAAATCACCTGAAGACGTTCGTAGCTTTCTTGGCCTAGCTTCTTACTACAGACGCTTTGTCCGTGACTTTGCATCGTTAGCAGCACCCTTACACCGTTTGACGCACAAAGGACGAAAATTTTTATGGACTACAGTGTCAACAGGCGTTCGATGCTTTGAAGACACGACTAAGCTCTCCACCCATATTAGCCGTTCCGGATACCTCAGCAAGCGGGAGAGAATTTATACTTGATACGGACGCCAGTTCCTCCGCTATTGGAGCAGTCCTATCACAAGTGGCCCCAGATGGGCAAGAAAGAGTCATTGCGTACGCTAGCCGTCGACTGGATAAGAGCGAAACAAGATATTCGACAACGCGTCGAGAGATGTTAGCATTAGTAGAATTCTTACAACACTTCCGCCATTATTTACTAGGTAAACCTTTCCGTGTACGCACAGACCACCGTGCATTACAATGGCTCCGCTCCTTCCGCGAACCAGAGGGGCAAGTGGCACGCTGGCAAGAACGATTACAAGAGTTCGATTTCACATGCAAGTACCGACCTGGAAGCCGACATACAAACGCAGACGCTCTTTCCCGCATACCTCAAACCGCAGGTACTGTTAATGCAGTTCTTAGCACAGCCGTAGAGATCGATTGGCCTTCCCTGCAAGCAGCAGACCCAGGCATGCAGATTATATATCAAAGACAGTTGCAGGGAAACCATAAACCATCCATGAAAGAGTTAAAGGATCAATCATTAACAACTCGCCGTATTTGCACTAAATGGAGTAATCTAAAATTATATGGTGACACGTTGTTCTTAATTAACGAAGCGAGACAACCCCTATTGGTAGTGCCACGGATAAAAGTCGAGAGCATTGTGGAGCAGGCGCACCGCGAACTAGGTCATGCAGGAGAACGAAGAACGGAATACGCGGTCCGCCAGCGCTTTTGGTGGCCATCCATGCATGAAAATGTAGTGCAAATTTGCAAAAATTGTAACACGTGCTGCCGTTTCAAATCGCCTCGACAGACATCTCGTGCACCGTTAACTCCGATGGTGACCACAGGACCACATCAGCGGGTGGGCATAGATATTATGGGACCATTAACAACAACAAAGAAAGGGAATCGCTACATACTGGTTATGGTAGATTACTTTACTAAATGGTGCGAAGCAGTACCCCTTCCCCAGCAAGACGCTCTTACGGTTGCCCGAGCTTTCATCGATCATTGGGTTTCCCGCTATGGCGCTCCCTTCTCACTTCATTCTGATCAAGGTCCAGCCTTTGAAAGTCGCCTCATCGCCGAGATATGCCAGCTTTTGGGAATCAGGAAGACACGAACCACTGCGTATCACCCAGAAGGTAACGGGCTTGTAGAAAGAACAAACAGAAGTATTAAAGCCATATTGCAAGCGTTTGTTAGCAGATCGTCGCAGGAGTTATGGGATGATATCCTTCCTCAATGTCTTTTAGCATATCGTACATCGGTACATGGCTCCACCGGGTTTTCACCCGCTATTTTATTATTCGGACATGAATTACGTCTACCAGTGGAAATACAGACGCCCCTGCTGCCCTGCGAAAAACAAGAGCATGTACCGTACATACGTACTCTACGTAACCGCTTGGCTGATGCATACCGCTTGGTCAACAGCAATTTGCGCAAAGCTAGTGAACATCAAAAGGACTTGTACGATCGTCGGGTGCACGGACCAGTGTATAAGGTCGGTGATCGCGTTTGGCTACGTCGCCCCATGACATCGTCAGGGAGTTGCAGTAAATTTCACCAGCCATGGCAAGGCCCCTTTGAAATCGTCCTCATCCGATCCCCCACTACGTTCGTATTACGTAACTTGCAACGACCCCAGGATGACGTGATAACTGTACACTATAACCAAATAAAACCAGATAAGATGACAGTCTCCCCGGATGCTCAGTTCGCCAATCCACCGCCTGCCACTACGTTTTATGAGGTACCATCAGAAGGAGGGACAGCATATCCATGTCCGAGACCAGGCACTGAGGACAGTGCCTATTTAAGAGAGGGGGCGGTGTAACGGAGTTGAAATTGCTATGTATGATATACTAATGCATTCTATTTTCTTTCTGTTGCAGGGCGACTAAACATAAACTCTTTGGAGGAAGAAGAACAAGCCCTATGTACACTAAGCTTACAGGATGACTCATAAGACTACTTTGTAAACTGACTCTTCCCGCTGTACTCTCGCGCACCGCGCCTTTTGATTTTGAAATAAAGAGGCTCGTGATTCCCACTGTGTTCTCTCTTGGTGTGAAGTCCTCGTTTAACATTGTGTGCTGTGCTGTTTTTCAGATCTGTACTGCTGTTCTCTAACTGCTGATTCCACGTGTTACAGACTAGTCATTCAGAAGCGTTCGAGGGATTTCAAGGTCACGATATCAATTTTAGTACCTTGAAGATACGACCAGTATTCTAGCTTGACAACTAGCAACCAGTAACACCTATATTCAAAGCGTCCCCCAGTCGGTTAAAGTCAGATACGAAGAGATCGGAAAGATATATTTGATGCGTTATCAATATATCGAGAAGCGTTTGCTCTAATCTGGCTAGTGAACGAAGGAGCTGTTTCCCACTCTGATTCGTAACGTGATCTGGTGCGGATGCATGACCGAAAACCTTCAGTTAAACAAGTCCACTTAAAACATTGTGGTCAGCACTCGATGTCGAACACTTAAAGAGCTGTTGATGTATCCCGATTGTCTATTATCTTTCAAGGTCACTTGAAATTCGTTCAAAGGTCGTCCTTAAATTATAGTCTCGCCGCGCTAGCATTAATCGTTATTCTTCTAGATAAACTCGACATTTTCCAATTTACTAAAAGCAAAGTAAATATTTTTGCCGGTACATTATAATCTTAACTAACGGAATTGGTTTATATGCCATTGCCTATTTACTGACCAGTGCTGCAAAATGTTTAAATCGTATACACGTAGTGGGTTGAAGTATCTGCTTCTAGTTCCAGTCCCTCTGCATATACACGAAATCGTCTGTTTAGGCTTCCTCCAATTACCCAGTGATCACCGTTTGATGCGACCGGATTTTGTTCTTTTCATCTGTTCTGCAGTAATGGATTGAACGTAATTTAACTAGTTTTAAGATGTCAGCCATCATAAATCAGTCCCAACAGAGGTTCGTAGGTCAACGTTGGAGCATGGATCATCTGCACTGCTCTTCGTATTCTGTCCTATCCTATTAGACTTGAGAACCCACTATCGCATGGTTTAGTGACTAATACGAACTGCTTCTAAGTTTAAGTTAGTACATAATTATTGTATAGTTTGATACTTTTTTGATGGGGTTTTGTTCTCTAAGCTGGATGGTTTGTTCGTGGATTTTTCATCGTTCTTTCGAATAACATCAGCACAAACTTACGGTAGAAGTAGTGTTCGAATTTATCCACATGTGGTTCACAACTTGTCCTGTACACCTCGATGTTGATTGCTTCTTGTTAACCTTAAGTCTGTCATTGTTTACTTCTTTGTTTTGGCTGTATCTCCCATTGGTTTGATCTTTGTTCCTATGTTTGTGCATAATTTTCCTGATTGGTTGATATATTGGATTGATTTCAATGTGCTTATTTATTGCTGATTGACATGAGGGCTAAGCTAAAAATTCTTTGGTGTTTTTTGGAATTGCCTCTATCCAAAATATCCACATTTTCCCCGTAAATGTGTGTCCACAGTTGTCCACGTGCATTGATAAAAGTGAAGACATGTCATGACATTTGACTGTTAATTGATGTTTATGCAGGCGAAGACGAAGAGGGCGTCTGCTTTTTGCTTTTCGCAGTTGACACATCCTATGTAAACCAAAGGATGAAATGACAAAAGAAGACAAACCAAACATCTTATGTCATCTGAAAACTCTTCGAAATAATGAAGATTCATTTTCACTCACTGTAAAATCACAAATATTCTATTTTTATCGTTCTGGGAAGTCCAGCGCGTGCTCAGTTTGTTTTAAGGTATCACTTCCAATCTCTTAAGTGGTTTCCGTAACACTAACGAAGGGATTTCTGTTTACTACCTTTCAGATGGTATCTTATTTATATAATGGGATAAAAACTAAGCCTAACAGTTTGCTCTTCGTTCCCTGAGGAGCGAGAAAACTATAAAATTGATATCGTTCAGTTGTTTACGATATATATCCTGTTAATCTTTGTGTTAATATTCTGTAAGTAAGCCTGTTATCTTACTGAAGAAATCTACTGAGTAACTGCCTTGTTTTCTAATAGCAGCTTATTTTGGAGATAAGCTGTCTTCACAATCACTTGTTACCCAGTCATACTTTATCACTGCATATTACAATCGATCACTATTTCATCCATTTATCTGACGTTCCCCAAACATCTTCCATTTAAGATAATAAAATCCTAATCCATAACGGAGTGGGACCTGAATGCTGTGTGTAAGCATCGTTTCTGCACAAATTCCACACCATAACTTTTTTATTCAGAACTAATAGGTTTGTTGAGTCTAAGATACCATATGCTGACTTTAGTTTTCGTTATCTTTATTTAATATGTCTATTTATCTCACCAATATTTTATTAGATCGCTTTCTGAATCCTGTTTAAGTTATTTTTTATATGGCATATTCTGACGAAGACCAAAATACCTATCTAAAGGATGTCTTCAAATTTTACAAACACTTACACTATACACATGTTGTGCGCGAACAAATACGAAGATATACTGACTCAATTTTCAAGGTATTCAGCTAGTCGAATAATTCTCAGTAACAGAAAACAGTATTCACTAAATTATTGAATTCGCATTCAGATTGTTCAGTGCATACTATACCAACCGAAGGTGGTTTCATACCATGTGCATTTATCTAATTAGCCAGATTTTTTCATATTAAAAAATTTCTTCAGTCCAATTGAAATTGAAGATTTATGGCTTGCTGCTCTGACAGAATGGTGTCACTCACCGACGGCTCAATGTAATTTAGGCACAAATGTGCCTCCTAATAGTCGTATGTTATTCATTTTCACAAGTTAACTTATGCGATAGGGATTGCCTGTACTGATCCATGGTATTCTAAACTCCGTTGGATAACTTTAGGTTATCACTATCAGTGGAGCGAAAGAGTAAGTTTTTGTTTTGTCATTGTCATATCTGTTTAAGATAGATACGGCTTTTACATACTAAACAGTGTTAGATGATTACGGTATTTATTGTTTAGTCTTTAATTCGTTGAATTGGACTGTTCTCTGAGATTGTCTGCTGAAGCAGGAAGTCCATAAGAAGTTTAATGACATCTTGGGGCCTTTATATCCAAACACCACAGACAGTAAACACATCCAACCAACTCACCATATTATTTTAATGACATTTAATATAGGGTGGGTTGGTAGATCGCACCACCCCTTTCCAACTTTGCTATCAACAATATTCTGAAGATAACTCTTAGGGAATTACGCAGTGGTGTTGGTGTAGACCTGTTACCTGAAGAAAGACTTTTGAACATTGTGTACACAGCTAACATTGTATCACTGTACAATAATATACTAGTTATACAGTCAGTACTCAGTCAATCGGCAATCAGTGTCGGCAGGTATGGTATATGCTTTATATTTCCTAAGTGCAAAAAATTTTGCAAACTATCAGAAGTCTGTGCCCCCACTTACTCTTTGTGATGAACTGTTAAAAATAATTGAAAATTCATATTTGGATAGTTTTATTAGTGCCGGTGGTAGCTTATTAGTGAAAAGGTCATAGTTAAATATACCAACCTAGACTATCCTAAGGGCTGTTGTGATTTTAGTCTACCTGTAAAAGGTCTGATATTCAAACATTGACTTCGATGACTTTGTCATGTTACATGAATGTCTTCCCTAAAGCTCCCACATCGCGCGTCATTTCCGAACGCTGGGGCTAAACGAAAAAAGCTCATGGAGTTGTCTGCTTATGACACGGTGCCATAATATGAAAGATAATTGCATTGGACAAGCTCCTGTTGGTCCATGATAACTTCACAGTCTAGTTATTAGAGGTTGTGTAACTCCTTTGCTTAAGGCATAAGCAAATATGACCCAGAATAGGTACCAGTGGCCACCGTGTTACAGTTTTGCCACGTTTTTCATAGGACTGAGGTGAACTCCCTCATCTGGAAAAAGTATTTCTTAACCGTAATCTCAATTAAACAATATACTTACCAAATGCTGTTCTTTTTCATTTATCGCACTCCTATTCCCTCTATTTCTTTGTAAGGTGAGTTTGTAGTGCGTTTTCTCGGTACATTTTTGTACCAAAACGTTTTAAATAAATAAATAGTAACTTCTCTTTGTGTAGACGAATTTCGAGCCAAGTAAAATGCTGTCAAATGGTAGTCTAGTGGCTAAAACGTTCAAATTTCAACCACACAGTCCCAGGTTAAAACTCCACCCCACCTTCCACTGTTTGAACAATCGGATAGTATCATTAGCTATCATACTTTGATTGTGGATCATACTCAAGTACGTAGTGAATGAGTTAGTCTAATTTTAAGTACGAAGCCGTTGACTGTTGGCCTATTTCATGTTTATAATCTGGAGCTTCTTACATAGTGGCGTTACTCTTCTGTTCGTTTGTTTTTAACTTGTGGTCGAGTGGACGCCTTGTTAACGTATAACGTGATAAGACCATCAATCAGAGAGCAGAGAATTATCGATTGGAACAGTGACACGAAAACCGTACGAGCAGTCTAGAGTGCTTATCGACCCTGCTACTGCCTAGCCCAGCCAGTTAAGTCCAGAACAACCTATGCGGTATAATTCATTGTATTTCAAACACTCTAGATCTATATGTCAAACAGACAGACCAAATCATACCAATAAAATAGAAAATAACATTTGTACAAGATTCAGCCAAATGTGGCTGTGAATGTGGTAATTAATAGACTAAGGATAACTCAATAATGGTAAATCGTATAACAATAGTTTATAGTTCAAAATAAAGCTCATGATAAAAGGAACATGAGTATGAATAATTTAGTTATTCAGCAATTATGCGATAAAAATATATGCATAATATTTGTTCATAAATAGATCCCAAAGTTACCATTCATTATTGTTATCGGGACATAACACATTTTATAAATGTGACATCTTGAACTGGCATCATATTATACTAAATCATACATTGTTGTGACAATCTTCAAAACTATCCTTTGTTTATTTTTGTTTGATTATCCCCGATTCCGTCTACTTTGTCTTTTGTTGTACAACATATTTTTCAATGGAATCCCAATACTACCAAAGGTCTTTATGTAGTCCAGCTTCTCTATAGTATCAATTACTTCAGGCAACTCATTCTGTTAAGTTCTGTATTTTTACTGTCTTTTTTAAAATAATGTGAATGGTTTCAGGTTGTGAAGTAATGTTTTAAACTTCCTGAAATTTGTCTTCTAAATAAAATATCCAATTAGCCAATATTAGTAATTTACAGCTCAGCTTGAGATGTAACATATACCTATATATTCCTGTCATTTTTCTAAAGATTTTCGTGGGCCTTCGTGAATATAAATTCATTTATATTTACCGTATAAAAATGTAGTACAATGAAAGCTCCAGGCAACCAACTACATAAAATTATTGCGGAAAAATATAAAAGTGATTATGTCTGGTTGATTACGACTGATTAAAAGTAGTTCGTTTTTGCAATAACACCATGAAACAAAGATGGTTCTATTAGCATTTTCCAACTCACCATGTCTCCAGAGATAAGGTTGAGAGGGCCCTTGGGTTTTCACAACTTAATCATTGCAGATGTTACTAAAATTAGATCAGAAAAAGACCCAGTTACACTACTGCTGTAACGCTTTAATTGTTTCTTCATTAAAACAATACAAACCGTTTGTATTATGTAACTTCCCCTGTTTCATTTATTGGAAAAAAACCTGTTATTATGGTGTCTGGGTCAATCAAGTTGTTTTGTAATGAAAAGGTTTAAAGCCAAATGTTCTGCATCCTAGCTGTGGACAACATTTCTATCTATCCTCTACATTCATAAATAAAAATTTCTATAATAAATGAGAGAATAAAACAAAGGATTGTAGGAGAAACCGATGAGTTGATAAGCATGTCCCGTCCAGAAAATAAATATGTTTTTCATGCTGTCACTTCAGCTAATCAATGTACGGTTAGCATTCCCACAACTGTGTGGCGCATACGTATCTGGTGCCCTTTTGTACCAATATGTCTGTGTTTAAATAAAATAAAATAACAACTCCCCCAGGTGACTGGCCAGGGATACACCGGATGTTGCGGAATTTTTCGAAACGATAACCTAGTAGCTAAGACATTTGTTTCTCAACCACTAAGTTCCATACTCGATCTTCGCTTCACATACTTTGACATGGGTGACCGGATAGTATAATTATCCCTCACACTCAGAGTGTGAATCACACCCAGGTGCCTGGTGAATGAGTCAATTAAATCACAGCAAACTCACACAAACCGTATAAAGTAAAGCCTAATATACAAACCTGTACTCGGTAAAACAGCTACATTGAGGGACCTGATGTTCTTTAGATTTAAATAAATTCATATCAAAAATGGTCATTCATAATTAACAGAAACATTTTTAAAAACATAGTTTTGTTCTGTGTTTTCAAATATACTCTTAAAACAACTTCATTACATTATCGTATTAATTATTGTCGCGTAAACAGTTGACTCTCTCATATTTAGAGTTTACTGTCCAACATGAAATTTGAATTGGTTAGAATCTTGACATCAGTATTTTATACTAGCTAAAAATTTCTCCATTGCGATGTTCAGGTTTACAATGAATCTAAAGTTGGTGAATTTCCATCGTTGCTGTATGGGACTACAGTGAACATTATCAACTTCCTTAAGCATTTAATTGAGGGAAGGGAAATTTCTTCAAATAATTCATCTCGCCTGTTAGAACAGTGCCAAAATTACACTCCAGAAGCGTCAATTGTGAACTATTATCGAACAAAAACAACTATGGGCTTCCATTCTGATGATGCGGAAGTAGATAAAGAAGCTCCTTTGGTGTCAATCAGGTAAGTGTAAAAGAGGTACTTCAGTATGCCTGTCAATTTTATATTGAACAAATTTATTTAGAGTGCTATTTAACTATTGCCCCCCTTAGTTTGCCAGAAACACATGTTTCGAAATCCAGAAAATGTAGCATATTGTCATGCTCCGTTGTAAAACGTACATTTTTGTGTTCATGATTGCGAAAACTCAGCATATTAAAAGCATATTTGTAGCTATCGAAAGTAATAAATGTGCCATCAACACACCTAACATACCAAGCTGCCTTATTAATAGTCGAAGTCACCGTTCTCTACTTTAAGTTGGCCAGAAATATATCTGCCAAGATTAGGCTCGAAAAGCTCCTTCCCCACAGCTGCTCTGTCAATTTGGTGATATAATTTTTCCAAAATTGAAATCATATATCTTCGGTGCACATTAATAATAGTTGTGTTGAAATCATCGTTTGATAATGGAAAAAGTCCAATGTTCATGTATAATTTGTATGGTTTCCCCTAGTAATGTTAACATTTTCTAATACTTGAGCAAATTGAAACGTCTTTCATACTACAGACATCCGACTTTAACTGAATCGGTTCCAAATATCCTGCTAACCAAAACGCGAATATATTAGGCTAACAACTAAACACTGACAGCACCAAAAGGAAATTCGCAGTCGGCTTTGTTTCAAATTCATCGCACTAACGACTCTATTAGGTTTCGTTATATCTCTCACTTTTTCGTCTTGTATGAATCTCACCTTGTATCGTAGACCATCATAACTTTTTACTGAAAATGTTAATCAGCTGTCAACAGTACACCTGTTCTTCAATAACTTGACAATACATTTGATTTTTCAAAATTAGTTTACATAACGAACTAACCTTAGCTAGACAACCAAGAAGTGCTGAATAACTGTCCTATCCTAGCAAGGAACTCAGCAGTACGTACCTAGAGTCCTGACAAAGATAGAACAGTGAAAGTTCCGGCTTTATGTTACCTTTAGACCACTAACTATGTATTAAACAGTACATATCTTTAGTTTCGGGGAATTAGGAAACTACTAGACCCATTCAGTCTTCGTAATTCTTAAGAAAGTTAGGCGACTTGCTAATTCTTAGGATGCCAAATTTGTTAGACTGTTGTAGGAATTGAATACAAATTTAATTAACAGGACTACGGAAAAAAACTCTGTACATTCCAAAAACCTATTGACACACTATTATTCCGGGATAGTATAGTTTCAAAATAATTTTTTATTCCGTTCAATCTCTCTATAACTTATTCTCCAATATGAGCTGATTCTTTTTACCGCTGGTTCTTTGTTTATCGAGTCAGTTACATAAAATGAGACCCCACATAGTATTGGATAAAACTGCCATCAAAAGGACCCTATCGTCATGATTGACATTTTCATTCAGTTAAAGCACTTATCTAAAAATTAAGTGCGGTATAGAGTTTCTGGGGTACCCATTTATATAATCGTGAGTTAAATACTGACGAAACTACCTGAACGATTGCTTCTGTAAACACCTGTCTTTTAAAGAGTATTCACTTTTATTGTTACCTTTTTCAGCTTTGGACCCACTGCATTGTTCTTACTAGAAACATCAGAAGCTATCAAGCATGAATTCGACGCTCCATTGCATGGGAGTTTTGACCACGTACTGCCAATTTACCTTCATCATGGTGATGTAGTAATAATGGCTGGTAAAAGTCGTCTGGCTCGTCATGCAGTCCCATTAATTTTCTTTGATGATGATACCGAGGTTGTCTCAAAAGGAGCTCTTCGTGTTAGTCATAACGTTTGTGACAAAATTGTAAAGGAAGATCATAACGAGGGTGTTTGTATACATTGCCAAGAGTGTCTAACATACATTAGGACTACTCGTATAAATATGAATATACGCCAAGTAATGCCTGTTCATAGATGACGCGAATGATAATATTGTTTTATTTTTCAATTATTCAGTATATTTGACTACAGATACGATAATTTTTTAATACCACGATAAATGCCTTGTCTCTTGACAAGAATAAGCGTCGACTACTTCTTAAGTCTAGTCTGGGGATTCTGTATCAAGTTATTTATCTTATGCTATGTTTGAAGAGATTACGGGTTTCCCTAATCTGCGAATGTAACGAAGACTCAGTGACACAACGACCAAATAAACTAGCTAATTCGATGCGTCTCAGTCCCGCTAACCAGAGAGAAGTCCAGGTTCAGAAGAGGGAAATGTATTTCACAAACGCAATTCAAACGTATATACACAGCATACAAATGTCCTTAAGATAAGTTGCAAGATATCATATTAAAAAAAGACAACAAGCCAGTCTGGTAAATGCGACGTGAAGGTGAAAATGGGTGCCTTTGGTGCGAAAAAAATAAATTAACAGAAATAAAATATTTACCAAGTGATTTCTGAGGATCTACCATCCACGATATTTTATCAACCCACTACTTCAATAGATATACCTTTACGACTAAGTGTGTTCTTTGAAATGAATCTCACACACACTTTACGGTGTATTTTCCAAGCGTCCTTATCGATATTGAGTGTTCACTCCAACTCTTGTCTATTCGATATTAGGGTTGAGTGTAAGCTTATATACACAAAATTATAATAAACCCGTGATATAACCTACTTAGTATCATTCTAGAGTGTGAGCTAAACTGCTTATGGTTATCGTTTGCAAATACGATTGGTCGGTTGTTTATTTTCCAAACCTTTACTAGAAATCATGTAGTCTGGGATAACTTAGCACACGCATGCGAAATATTACATCGAAAAATTACTGAGACAGAAATAAAATTCGTAGATTTCAGTGAGATTATTATATACTGTTTCTGATCAATATACAAGATAAATTAAATGATTGCAAAAATCGGTTCCAAATTGTAATAAGTATTATACTCGAAAATAAGGACCATTTGTGGTACGACTTAGCATAGCCTCATTCTGTATTCTTGATGATGCTTCTGGGGCTAATCGATTTAATAACGGACGAATAGATGGTTCAAGTGCGATTATGGCTCCTGAAATAATAGACAATAAGTGAAATACGAATGTGGTTAGGTGAGAAGTTGTTGCACAAATAATATTATGTCCACAATCATAAAGAGCTTTATACGATCATTTATTATACGTATACTAGACATAGTTGTTTCTCAACTGTTTTCAAATAGCTTAAAACATAGTCTTTGGGCGAGAATTGTGAGGCTTTAAGACACTGTTAAAACTTTTGTAATAGTATTTATGTGAATATAACTCAACAAGTAACAAACTGATGTCGCGTTGTGTTTAGACCATCATCCGTCTAACATGAACCCAACAGTGTAGGTTGTAGATCCTGACATAGTAGGTCTAAAAGTAGACTTATTTACTCAGCTTAGCTCAAGTACAAAGACGAAGTCTTTATGCTAACCGATTACTACCAATATCCCAAGAAATATAAGTAAACAAACATCTTATTTTCATCCTTGCCACCTTTTAGTTACATCAAAAAGCATTACATTGTACTTTTAGTTATCGATAAACCGTTTAATAGCAACAAATTCATGTTTACGCTTAGGTCGCTTCAGTAACTAGCACAAAAAAGATAAAAGGGAAGTCCGTAGTTTGTAGACCATAAGTAACCTTCTAAAGGTCCTCAAATGCCCGGGTACGGTCAAGAGTGGGGAGGCCAGCTTCCCCGATGGAGATGCTCTCACATGGCCACGCGTTTACAGCCACGGGAGTTCCACTCACTGCCTTCTCGCTGTGGGAGTGTTGTTTACGAAGTTGAGAGGACGGAAAGCGAATGTCCGGCGATTTAACCGGGTTGGTGAACACAGAGGGTCTACTTAGTTGAGTTAGTAAACCCTGACTCCGAATCAATATGAACTTGGACTTCAGGTTCCCAAAAGAGCAAATGGCGCATGGACCGACTGTTAGTCGCCAGGTACCATGGGACTGCATCTCCTGATGTTCAACTCTTGTTTATTAGATCTTTAGCTTCTAGGTCCTGGGCTTGACCCCTTAAAGAAACCTGCTTCGGTTTGAGTATCCATACCGTATCACAGCCCTAATACAAATAAACGAGAACTACTACTGGCCTCGTTGTTGTGTGACGCATATGTATTTGGTGCCCCCTTATACTAATGCTTACGTGTTTAAACAACAAATGAATAGGTGACAACCTAATAAAGAATCATGCGAGATATAACCTTTTAGCATAGTTACCATCGTTAGAGGTATTGTCTGATGTATTGGGATTATTAAGTGCACCTACCTGGTATCATGTGTAGAGTTATACAGAAAAAAGTAGTGCGATCGATGAGTACATGAAATTTCATAACGGCTGGAATATGCTAACTCAATCTGTTTCTGTTTACTGGAAAGGGTTTAAGTTGCATGAGATGAGAAAGGTAAACGGATCGAGACTTACTACGTTGAACGTGTGAACTGTGTAGGCTATAACGTTTTTTGACGGGGGCACACGTGATATAATTTATCAGTGTTTGCGGACAATCTATGCCATGGTTCAAACTTGATCAAGACGATGCAAATGTATAAAACTCTCTTCGTATGTAGTAATGCTGTTTTCAAGATCTAGAGGAAGAATCAATATATCCGTTATATTGTTAATGATTCTAAGCCACTCCTTTCGTTTTTTTTTCAACTTTGATGTTATTAAATGCTAATGTTTCTTCATATAGCTCGTTAAATAGACATTAAACACCATTTTACTTTATTATAAACTCACCTATATTGCATTCACTGGAGCCAACAACCGTCAGAAATAATGGTAAAGCCGATTGGCATGTGAAATGAAATTGGCAGATCTAAAAATCAGGAAGTATTGATTATGTACTAGCAAACTAGATATTTGTGACTACCAACGTTTCAGTATTTATTATGAAAAATCTTATTTCTCAGAATGCAATGGACAAAACGCTGGTACGCACTATCGTTAACTAATGTCTAGCAATGAATGTATACTTCGGAGATAAAGTGGCTGAGTAGTCTAGCTAATAAACCTTTAGTATGTTATCAGTGCTCATCCCTTACTGATAAAATAATGCCTCTGATTATGGATCTTACTTCACTTGATTTGAGCAGGTGGGCAGCATAGTCGTTATACGACAAGACTTAGAGTCAAATAATTGGGAATTTACTTAGATACAACAACTATCTTTTTAAAGATATTCATAAGCATGGGCTCCTAAGCAGTAGCTCGACCCCAACAAAAACACCGATTTTGTGTGGCACATGCTGTCCCTTGATTCCCAGTTGTACCATACTTCCCGTGAACCAAACTATATATACACATTTCGACAAGATATAAATATGCGTTAGGCTGATGCAACGCATTTGCTGGAGACACCCATACGCATTGTATAAAGCCTAGCATGTAGGCCGTCAAACTGTCTAACTGAATAATAAAGCTCTTGCTAATAGACATACCACCATCTCTTGATAACTAGTGATCATCCACTCTAAATCTCCAAGATCTAGTTTGTTTACTTGTTGTAATGATACGATAAAAGCAGCAGTTACATATGGTGAACGCGCTTGGTCAGGCATATCATCCATTGTGGCTAGGACATAACATTGATGATAAAATTAAGTTTACCACTTGCGACGACGACTCCGTCTTTATCTGCAACAAATATACCGAGGATCCCATCAACTCTATTCGTATGATCAAATGAACAAAAAACTCACTCAGACAGGAATCTCTTAAGATAGTCACAAGCAGACTATTGAATTAGGTTAGAAGAGAGTTGTTAACTGACCTCAGACATCAGTGACGTTAAAACCAATTCCGGTTGTTTTCAAGAGTGACAGGTACTGCAGGCTGGTTATTTTTAGAACTTTATAGACCCTGGTACGGCAAGGTAAATAAGTCAGCGCGTTTTCAAACCTGCCCGTCGGACGTATCGTACGCCCTGTGTTTCGCGCTATTGAATATAACTGATATAGTACAGCAAAAGATAACTTACCACCTTCAGTAATAAGGATAGTAGGTTGATGAACCTGTGTTATTCCTGATTGATTGCCTTCCAGTGAAGGTCCAGATTCTCCTTGAAAATGTTCACTGATGGAGCTGGTATCACTTGTTTGGGTAATGCGTTCCAGTCATTGACCACTCGATAAGAAAAACGGGACCCCACCGTCAGCTTATTAGGTCGCGGTTTGTAAACCTTCTTTCTATGACCGCGGAGATTATTAGTTCTGGAGGGAGCAAAAAGATAAGACATATTAACACCAAATCATAATTAGATACGAAATGCCAGTATAAGGTCACTTCGTGTCCTACGATAAGGTAAGGGGAAAAGATTGAGACGTTTTAAACGCTCATCGTTAGGGAGTTTAGAAAGACCCTTCACTAATTTTGTCCACACACGCTGGACACACTCAAGTGATTTAGTATCCTTTGTCAGACACGGTCTGGCTTCTTGGACACAGTATTCTAAGTGTGGCCTTACATAGGTGAGATATAAAATTCGAAACATATCCTTGTCGAAGCATTTAAAGGCTTGGCGAAGTGGCCACAGCGCACGATGACCTTTGGAAGCAGCCGCATTGCGGTACGTAGTGGTAGTCTTTGTGCTCTTGAACGCATGGAAGAGATGTACCATTAATCGTATAGTGGTAACTAATATTGTGCCCGATGTGCATGAACACAATCTTCCTGAAATTAACTTCCAAGCCCCAATCATGAGCTTACACAGACTAGTTGTAATACTGTCTCTAATTCGATTGCTCCACCAAGATTTCTTCAGTTTAAGCCTAGCATGACCTGAATGGTGTCAAACGATCAAGCGATGTATAATCTTCGTATGTACAGATGACGAATACTCAGTACATTCACCAACAAAGTAGAAGAAGTCATAGTCAACTCTGGAGACATTTATTTGCTGCTCATAAATCCACAATCAGTGTTAAGAAGACTCACGAGATGTAGGACATGTTAAGAAACCTTTAGGATATTTGTGTGCAACAATTTCAGTTCAAGTATCCAAGTTATCAATCTATGTTCCGAGTAGACTTAAGTTGTGGCGAGCATACTATAAAGTCCTTTAATATGGTTCAAAGCCATCCGTGTTCCATAAAATTTATGGTATGTGGTCCGTTTGGCAGACGATTGTTTGGTGAAGAGAAGGAAAATTTAGCACCTTTATTGAGACATATACCCTAATTAGATAATGCGGTTAAATGTCTAATGGATACATTTAACAGAGAAACCATCGTCAGTTTCGTAAATAACGCATATTCTAGAATCGCTAACAGTGTGTAAAGAAGTATTAGTGAGCTGGTTGCTCTCGATATGAAAGAGTCAGTTTGTTACATCAGAGTGTGGGGTGGCAGAGTTGTATTCAGATGAAGTTCTAATTAGATATTGCATTGGAAATGAACAAGAGATTGAACCATATAGAAGGTGTTCTGAAGTATTTGTCAGTTGGCATAACACGGACACGCCAAGATAATAATGTTTCCTTCCCGTGTATCTAAGGCCATTCGTAGGGAAATTAATTGACAATGAGTTACGTCCTTATTCAGGCCAACCTCCTGTCTCCAAAGACACATATACTTCAAGCAGTGCAAACGGATAACTCCAGGTGGCATAGTTCATTTCATGTTTATGATAAAGCTGTAGACACTATCCGCCTGTAATTTTACAAGTGCAGATGCGTTTTTCACAGAATTTAACAATATACTAGATCATCCCTAAGCAATTTTTGATTGCAGCCAATAATGAGCATGAGGCAACGCTTGTAACGTAAATAAAGTATGATTCTTTCAAGCGTTTTTTCAGCTGGGCAACCTGGATAACCATCCACATGCCTTTTCTTGTGACTTGATGAGAGCTCGCTTGAAAGAATCAGCAAACGTTCAGTCTGACCTTTTGATCGGGAATAGTAGAGTGATGATTGAACGTATATAACTGCGTTCCTGGAACAAGAGATCGAGATGATTTGCTAAGCAAAGTGGGGTTAATTGTCTACAGTTAGTGTTTCCGAAAGACCGAATTCCCGATGTCATTGAGGTCATAGGAATTAAGTGAATCTGCAGCCACTTTCTGAATGAGTTGATGATTAACTGGTCCAGTGAAATCACCATGAACATGAAGCCATGATTTTCCCGCACTTATACATGGGGATGGTTGTACTTTCTGTGACATTTTTGTGACTTGAGCACACTGTGGACACTTCTCGACCCAACTTTCGATGACCTTATCAACCAATGGCCACTATATGTATCTGTGTAGCAATGACTTCATGCTCTATATACTGGGATAGTCTGAATGGGGTTGTTTTAATACTTAACATCTGAGCGTGGCTGGGATACCTAGACGTTCCTTAATCATCAAACATGAAATGAATATAAATGATGCGCAACTTCGTTGGAAATACTCCATCAAATCTTTATCAACTTCGTTTGCCTAGCCATTATACAGACAGTTCAAGCCCTTCTGAGGTTCACATTTCGATTCATAATCCGCCCGTCGCTATAAAAGGGGTTACTGCTGACCCCCTGTCCAGAAAGAGGAGGAGGTTAATACGTGTGGTCACCAATCACATCATGTAGAACACAGCTGTGTCAAAAAAACAATAAGCTTGGAATCATTCGAAAATTTAAACCACTCTGGGAGTCGAGGGGTTTTCATTCGAAGGATTATGATATCTCATAGTGAATGCTGATATTCTTTGGAATTCACGGTGTCAATACCTATAACAATTAATATAGGTAAATGGAATGTCCGGACAATGTGAGTGACCTAGACGGCCGGTCAAACAGCTAGAGAAATGAGGAGGCGCAATACGATGGTGCTTAGAATAAGCAGAACACGTTGGATCCAAGCTGGACAGAAAGATTAGATTCAGGAAAGGTTATATTTCGTAGCAGTCACTAAGGACGAAATGCTCTGAACACGCAGGAGATTGCTCTGCTGTTGTCCAAAAAAGTAAGAAATGTACTTGTAGGATGGAAATCTCATGAATTCAAACAAAGAATGAGTGGGTCAAATTGACTGGTTTTCAGATCTGTGCACCTACCAATGTAAGGAACAAAGACAATACAGATTAATTTTATGGAAGTCTACAGTCGATCTCATGGAAGTGCCCAGGAAAGGACCTGACAATCCTGATGGAAGACCTAAATAACAAAGTCGGAATGGACAACAACGGTAATGAAAATAACATGGGACGACATGGACTAGAAGAAAGGGACGAAAGTGGGGAGAAATTTACAAATGTATGTGCTTTCAGTGAAATGATTGTAGGTGGTTCAACGCCCCATCATAAATGCATACACTAATATATATGTACATTTCGTCTGACCACACAATACAGAACCAAATCGAATATATTTGTATCACTTAAAAATTTAGATCCATAAAAATGTGAGGACATGTACAGACTTTTGAAGAAATTCAGACCACCACCTAGTTGTGGCCAAGATAAAACTGAAGCTGAAGAAGCACTGAACAACCGGGGAAACAGAATTACAAATGTGTAACGCAGACTTCCATCAAGATACTGACAAATACGATTAATTAAAAAGAGCTCGAAGAAACAGGTTCCGAGCATTACAAAAACTATTAAAAGACGAGAAAACTACCATTGAGAACTGGAAATGGATCAAAAAAGTATTAACTTCAACGCGTCAAGTGGTTCAATGCCCCAAGAAGCATCATCATAAGGAATGCATCTCTGTCGAAACCCTGGATAAGATTCAAGAAAGGAAGAATAAGAATACAGCAATTAACGACAGTCGAACAACAGCAAGGGAAGTCAAGGCACAGGTCGAATACACCGAAGCAAACATGCAATTGAAGAGAAGCATTAGAACCGGCAAGCAGAAATACGTGGAAGAGCTAGAAACGACAACAGAAAAAGTTGCAGGGGAAGGAGATATCAGACGACCATATTATCAAGTGAAGAAACTAGAAGTGAAATCGGTGTAGATTTCTCACGTCCAGTAAGACGCAGACAAATACGTGCTCAAATTACGGCATGATCCGAGTTTAAACTTGTGTCTCAGACGATAGTCTCCAATCGAGCCCCTCCAACGATGAACAAGGGCAGTATGATTAACCTGAGTTCATCGATGAGTCAATTATGGGGGTCGCTACGTCAAACGATTTTTCGCCTTATGTGTTGAAGTTGGCGTTTTCCGGAAATAGATGGTTATGTGAGCATACTTGCAACAGATGGTCACTATTATCTGTTCAGTGGGCCTCAACACCATAAGATCCGCCTAAGTGCCTTTCAGTTTGGTTTACTTTACTTACTTGAGAATTAAATTAAGCCACCACTATCACTGCATCAAAATGCCTAGCTTTTTGAAGGTTGGATAACTTCCTATAAAATTAATCTTTTACTTCGTCCTAGATGAAATCGGGAGGAGCGTAGACTGAGACAATGAAAAAGTATCGGCGAGTGCCCTGATCTTTTTGAGTTTTGACTTTGCCGTTTAGCCAACACAGCCTAGAATTTGTTACCAATTTTTTAATTATGTCTTCAACGTGATAGATAGGCCTCTGATTTTATTATTCATAGGACAGACATTTAACAGCCTTACATTTTCTTTGTATGATACCACATACATACCCTTTGCTTATAACTCTATATTTGAACTACATAGGTCCGATAACTTTTGCGATTCCAATACATAAGCATACAAATCGGCTAGCCTGAACTGTAAAGTTAGCCCCGAGTACAGAACCCAGAATCCTTATGGTCCGAATGGTTGTTAACGGAATAGAAGAAGCTTTCGCTTAACGGGCTTCCGTGTCCAG